AGCATGAGCACACCACAGGAGGTGGAGGCCATTCTCGAGGCGCGTCCTCATCAACTGAGTGGGGAAAGCATCATCGTGCGACCCGCCTATTTGCGACCTTCCGGGTGGGTTTCACGGCCATTGTTGCCCTCTGATGCATGTTGTGTGGGTTTAATCGCTCTATCCGTTTACTTACAGCAAAGGCTTCCAAAGTCGTTAAAAATGGCTTCCAGTCAAACGCGCCTAGCCTTTCCCTTCCAATAAGCGGTCACATTTGACGTCGTGGCGGGAGTGTGTATCCTTGCTTTTACACGCTTAATGACCGTGAAAGTAGGAGTGGAAGTAAACGGGCATCTAAAAGCTTTTTTTAAATGTTTTTAGTATTATTTTCAATTTTTTATAAGCTGAATTCTTGCATATGCCTCGTGGCTGGCGCTTGATTAATAAGTTCGACAAAGGGCGGATTATTGTTTTCATCAGATCCAACTGTAAGCACATTCGACCTAAAATTGAGGATGGTTATATCTTCACCCCTTTGTGTGATGCTTGCTGTCAGATGATTATTTAAGCTGTGTGCTATTGCACATCTTTTTAGTATCAAAACGAATGTGAATAAAAGGTGTCTCTGCAAATTGTTGGCATTTCTGACACTACGTGAATGCGTGTAATGGATTTATACATCTTCTTCACAGGGCTGGGCACGTCATTTGCACTTGCGGCTCTGCTATTATGATGTGTAAACAAGGAATTAAAAATTTTCCTACTTAAAGTGAATGCTGCCCATTAGTGGTGTGGGTGGGGTCCTAAAATATAATTTCGAAACACAGAAATGTGGTGCCAAATCCTTGCTATTTGTGAATTTTCATTTGATCGGATTTTGAGGATTCCTTACTCTGCCAATCTGGTCGCATGATTAGGATGCTACTTTTGATTGCAGCATACATTCATGAGTAGGCTAGTGATAACCTATCCCAACCAACCTACATGACCAATCCATGTATACTGTCTGCCACAGCAAGGAAGAGCTGTCGGATCCAGCCTCCCAATGGTGACGGTATAAGGTGGATGAATTTGAGTAAGAGATTAGTCAGGTAGGTTCGTAAACATGTAAATCCAATTTACAGAGCATATGTTAAACATTCGTGCCGATGTTTTTACTAAGCCAGATGGGATCTGCGCTTATGTTGCAGGACGACTTTCTTCCGTGTCAATCAGTCAACCTCTGTAATTTCACATTCTTCAGTTCATGTGAATTAGAGCAAGTTGTGAAAGGAGTTGAATAAATTTGGACTATTTACTTAATGTGTACCGATTCAAGGCTATGCTGATATAAGTAGAGAAGCGGAGTGGGTATTTGGACAAGAAGCGAAGTATGTGCTTCACAATTAGGTCTAATGGTTGATGTTTCCCCAAAATCCGTGCTGCAGTTTGGCGTAGGTTTCTCATGTGTAAGCTCTGACGTATGATGCATGAAGGGGCCGTTTATTATCAAGAGACCAATCTTTTACATTGACGAGGAAATTTCACAACGTTTCCCTCCTAAAAACATTTAAATAGATTATCCCACCATTCCGTTTTATCATTAATGGAGGCGGTGATTTGATCGGTACTAATTGAACACAAAAATTCACCTCTTCGCTACATTTTATTAGCGTTGCTTGTTTCAGCCAAAACTGAAAATATACTACTGCCATTAAGATCAGTAGAGTGATACATTTGTCGTGCATAGCAGTGTGCAATACATCCAAGATGTCATGATATGCATCAATTCAGCTGAGGGATATCTGCCGCATATCTAAGGGTGGAATCGCGGCACTGAAATTGTGTGCAAAGGGAGACGCTTCATATGTTAGTCATTCCTCGCCCTCTAGAGGGCACAAATCACTCGAAGAAGTGAGACAATCTGTAACCGTCAAATTAACTGCAACATGCGAGCTCGCAGGCCTATTGGAAACAAGCCAATAAAATATTTTCTACCTTACTAGGCAAATGGGAGTCTCACAAGCCGGCAATGCCCAACATCCGCCAGGTGCTTGAAACCAGTAATTAGTTTTGAATAAACCCCTAGTGAGTGTTAGGAGCAACATGTCATTCCATAGGCACCAACACCGTTGTGAGGGGAATATGCACTTCGCAACTGCTGTAAGAGGTGTGCTTTACTCTGACTCTCCCTTTGGTTTTTGCTTATTCGCTGGGGATGGATTTGACGCCCAGTGTGCGTTGAAGTCAATTCGTGAACATGCACTCCAGGTTACGCCCTTATGACATCAACTTCATACACACTTGTACAACATTCAAATCAATCTGCGTGGAAACGCGTTGTCATGACAGAATAATAAGTGGATAAATATTGTCTGATCTCGCATATGATTCCGACATCCGACTCTGTATGAAAGTTACAAATCCAAATGGAGTATCTCGGCTTACTTAAAGCTGCATAAATTGCGACTTGGTAGCAGAAATGGGCTGGCATGTCTTTCATCAAGCGAAGCTAACGCCAGCCTCACAGCATTTGTCAGACCTCATTTGGTCTTGTAAACCACTAAAATAGTAAACAGAAATCGGCTGCTTCTACTAAGACTTTTGTGAATGGATGATCATGGCATTAGGCATTACGAGAAGCGGTATGACTAAGAAGTGAATGTGAATGATTAAGGACTTTTACACCTCCATTCATGATCCTTGGGCAGGAAGGTGAGAAGAATCACTCCCATGTGGTAAGAAGGAATTGCTGCCGCTGGCATTTGGAGCGCCTTTATAGTAAAGAAGGCCACAAAGGGTCAGTACAAATTTTTATCCACCTTCACATAGATGATACCACCTAATCGGCCAAATAGGCTGCAAACGTCATTTACTCTCGAAACGGGAGAAGGACCATCAACAGCCGACAGGTATTTGCTTTTGGCCTCCGTGGACACCTCTTTGTTTCCGCAAATGAGCAAAAGGCGTTTAGGTCTACCAACTTAGAATAGCGTGCAAGATGGGCAACGGAAACCACCCTTAATCTCGCAAATATCGAATGGCCAATAATAGTTGGTTTCTAGTTTTAATCCTTTCGGAAACATGAGTGCGGATCAAAAGCCAATATGCTTGTGCAAGGTCGTGACTAAAGTCTCCCTTTTCTTTTTCCTCTTTAAGCTGAAAGGCGCCAACTCCACTGAGTCACCGTCTATGTGTGTTGAATAATCAGAACAGCAACAAGACAATTGATCTTCTAAACGTAATTCATTTTTACTTCCCCTTGCAAATTCATGGAATCCACCAAGCCCTGCTTGACAAATTTGAGGTTACCTTGAGTTTTAGGTATAAATGGACATTGAATTACACTACCTACTTCCTGCTGCAATCGCCTGCCTTCTCATCTGCCTTTCTATACATTTTGACGCCATTGTAGAAGATTAAATCTACAAGTGGAGGATTAGCTGGTAAATGCTTTGGACTACCTTCAAAAGTGATGTATCCTGATTCCACATCTATATGCATCCCACCTATCTTCCTCCACTTATTTTATGCTAAGCCAACGTCTTTCCAAACCCAACGTGGAGGCACCGATCTGACTGGCCGGAAAAGGCATCATGCAAAGCAGGCTAAAGAAGGTGGTACCGTTTTCCGGACTGCGATCAAAACTGGAACACGACCCACTGCTCAAATTTCAAGTACAAATGTACGATCATACAAATACAAGTATACAAATACATGCAAGTGCGTTTGGCAACATATGTTCGTGAATTGATCAGACACTTGTATCTGTTTAATGCACAAAGGTCCTAAATTCGTCATCATCTTCTCAAAAAAAATGACTTTACGGATGAATCGTTTCAACTACTTCTAGCTTGCTAATGCTTTTAAGCAAATCCTGCATAAGAGGAGGTAAAAATGAAGCATAGGTTAGAGAAGACGCAACGAAGAGTTGGGAATTGGGTAAAATTTAACGGTACAGGTGGAGGGATTTGCCATTCGCAGTCTAACGTCTGTGACCACTCACACCGATTCCATTTGGCAATGCGTACACGTCTTGTTTGATCTCGCTTCCGTCCTCATCCACCTACTCCAGTCTTGCCACGGAAGCTGCCAGAGATGTGCTAGCTACCAGGTGCATCTGCAGCACTGGTCCATCCAAGGCACTAATAATCTCATCATTCATCTTCTTTGGTGTTCTTTTTCACACGGACCATCAGGCTGCACCGCAGAGCGAAAAGGAAGGAGGGCATTCCATGATTCGTCTTCCCGAATAGAGAATCATGGAATAATTATCCCAACTGTATCCCACAATCAAATAAACGGTGAATGTTTACTTTCTGCAACCAATCACATTTCTCGTATTTCCAGCAACAATTAAATCGACCTTGAACTACTTTCCCACTTTCGCATTTTGGATGTACATGCACTGGACCTGCAGATGACCCAAGCACCGTTAAAGGGTTACGTACACTTGTGAACAGATACTAGTCACCCGCATTCCCTCAACCACAATCCAACCTGTACACAAGCTATCGAATCTGTGCCCCTGCCCAGCCTCTCTACCTCTACTTTATGCGATGCCAGGTGGAAGTCTGGATGCTTGGCTTGGATTTAGCTGGTCTGATCTGTCCTACCCTCAACCACCCTAGCCTGGCAGGTTTAGCTTCAATCTCTCCAGTCGCACTCGCCTGTTTTACATTGTGTGGATGACACGTAGTGACTACAGTGTAGTTCTCACCAAATTAAACTCGCAATTCATTAGAATGCAGTCAAAATTTCGTCCAGTTTGAGCGGCAGCTCCATTGGGTGTGGAGGTGGAGAAGGATAACAAACAGAAGACAGCAGCAAATGCCATCACCTCAGACAAATGGAACAGACACGCTCCTGACAATGCTGACAGTCACGCAGAATCGGTGGGGGATGGTGACAAGGGTTAAGGGTGTTTAAAAGGCTCCTCTATTACTCCACGCAGTATTGCTTTACTTACCTCACAAGAACCGCATGACGCACAGCAGAACTGAGAGGGTAGATTCGTTCGCGTCGACTTTTCTCTCGTCATTTGTAGAGAAGGTGTGTCTCTTTCGCCAATCCTATCTCACTGCGATGTTTGCTACGAAAGTTGTGTGTGAAGTGACAATTGTACTCATTCATTCATCAAATTACTGAGGAAGTGGAAGCATTCATGTAGTGTGCTGGCATAAGAGTCGAAGAAGAGTGAAGGTGGAGTCTGGAGAAGGATACAAAAGGGACGGAAATTTTAAATTCCTTTTATTGGGATTAGCTACGAAGTGATGGGCATTGGAGGGTGATTCATGACTGAGGAGATTTAAGATATGGAATTACCAAATTGAGAAAGGACATTATAAAACAGGTATCTGAGAACCAATACTTGAATCCATCCCCTCTTGAAATCACAGAATTTGTTGTATGCGCCTTTTCGGATTTTTGGAAGAAGTACAAAGGTATAAAGTGAAGTATGTTTGTCAACTAGGAAGAAAAAAGGCGAAAAACATTTAATCAACAGTGGAGGAGAAGTGGACACAACTCCCGACTTTACCATTACCACATCATGTCTACATTTGGTCACCAATGTCGCAGTGAAATAGGAATCGTGGAGGAGAGGTCACACCATCGCAGTTGACCAGACTGAGGTCGCTCAAATATCGGTTAATCCACAGATAGAACTGAGTGTTCACCAAACATGATTCACCCTGACCAACGGCTTCAGTGCTCAAGATGTACAAACCATGAACTTCTTTCCACCAGGAGGTAAAAATTCCCCTTTCCCTATGGTATGACAACAGATATCATGTTTAAGCTTTGCGACCTCATGTAGATCTTGGCTTTCTTTTGAGACATTTCTGAGAGTGTGGAAGTTAAGAGATGAAGGGAAAGGATGGAGAAAGAGCGTGCCTTTCTGTACTAGGTTGAAGGCTAATAAAATCAAATGTGATATGTGTATGCGTCTCACAACCTTTGACAGATGAGATTGTTATGCGGTTCAGTCACAGTCACTTCCATCATCATCTGCCTTAACAGTGGTTCTAAGTGAAGACTACTGCCCTTTTCTCATAGACACCTAACATGCTTTCGCATTGGTTGCACACTGACACATTATCAAAGCAACTTGTGCATCTGGCATCAGAGTTGAGGCACACGAGTTTGCGTACTTCATTCCAATCAAGCTGTCAATAAGCGACATCAGGAGGGAGAGGTGTAGCAGTCAGGCTAACGGAGTGCTTATTTTGCGGGTTCCTGTGTGGATCATGTGTGTCAATTGAAATAATACGGGCATTACTATTGGTTGAAATGTAGTAAGGCATCGCGCTGATTGGCCACACTGCCAGAAGTGTTGATTAATGGCAAAGGCAAAAGCGACTGCTAGTTCAGGATTGTGGTGTGCAGCCACACGTCGCCACTTGATCAGAGGATAGTGTGCAGCAGCAATGACTTAAACTGGCAAGGTTCTCATTTGTGGACTGTGTACATAATTGTGAGTTATTTGCGTAACACATGACTTTTTTTATCGTAACTCTGATTTGACACAGTAAAATGGGGAAACTTCAAGTGTTGCCTTCTGCTTAGAACGATTCAGCTTTGGGACATTGCACAGATTAAAGTGTCTCTTAAATCGCGAAGTAATTGAACCATCACTTTCCATCATGTGTTTTAAAGTAGTAAATAGTTGGACGTAGAAGGAGGAGAACTGAGAAACTCCTGCTGTGTGTGGAAAGCGAAGGGCATGGAACCTTACCGTCTGGTGGGAACATAAATAATGAGGCCTGAGAGGTCTATGTAGTGAAGAACAGAATTAGATCAATTATGAAAGGGCAATAAGTGTGCATGTATGGCTCCCCATAAGTCAGTGGTGTCTCATCTGTTTGTCTTCATCAACTCTCCACTTCCTCATGCAATTTCCCCACAGGAAGACTTTCTTCACACCAGTGCCTGTAGTGGTAGTGTGTAATAGCCCGAGTATTGAGCTTTGACTTCACACACGTGTGTGTGCGCTTGTGTGTCTGACTTTAAGGTCCTTTTTCAGTGATCTTTGTATTTTCCAGTGCGTCAAGAATGATAAGAGATCTTCACAGCCTGCCATGTGGGAACGCGTTCTGCTTGTGACCCCGCCTGCTCTCACATGTTAGTGCCATGACAACGCGTTGCCTGCCCTTTGAGTCTGCTGACGGTTTGACCCCCACGCGGACGACAGAAATGAGTGAGTTGATCTGAAATATTAACACTAGTAAAATGGTATGTTGTCATGGCGATGCCACGCATAGCTATGCGAGAATAAATGCACAATATCACAACGCCTAAGAGCTGTAGCATCTGTCGAGCTTGAGCTGGTACATACAACGTAAATAGGAATGTTGGGCAAAGGTGGCAGTAGGCGTGTACACTCAGCACCGATGAGATCTCCGCAGCGGTCAGTGATAAAGCTAGGAGGGTTTAGGACCTATGTATGGAAATGGCATAAATTTTTAAACGACTTCAGCCATTCATCTGTATTCACACAGCACTAACAATCTGTACCACTTTAAAGAGTACGTAGGATTCCATCCTACTCTATTGCAAAATTTAGGGGTAAATCTGAGCTGCTGCTGCCTTATGAACATGAGCTTGTTCGGTTGTGTAGAAACGCCCACTTCCTCCATTAG